TCCCATCACTGGTCTAGATCTTCCCAATTCTGTATAGTGTGCTCCTGTTAAAAACCTACCCCTTTCAACACCTATTGCTAATTTAAAAAAAATTGCAACTTATAAAATATATATTTGGCATCCCATCTTTTTTCCCTAGCCTACCAGCCCCGATCTGCTGCCTTAGGATCATCATGCCTAGCCAGCCTGCTCATCTAGAGTGATAGGCATTGGACCAAGATCTTAGGAAGGCTCTACTGTGAGCAATGCCGCCCTAAATCTTGATTTGATTGATTGATTTTGATTGATTACGTGCCATCAAGTCAGCATTGACACCTAGTGACTGTCCCTAACTAAGCCCACACCGTCTCTCGCGACACCTGGGTGCTTCAAAAGGGCTTGCAGAATTTTTGATGCAATCCTGGAACACACATGGCTTGCCCTAAATATTCTCCAGTTGAATATTTAGCATCTGTAACAAAAAGCAGTCTTCACCATGATCGGGGCTTGGAAACCCCCCTCTATTTTCTAAGTGGTCTGTTTCCAGTTAGAGCACACACAGTATCCAAAGCTTGGTCCCCTTCAGGAAAATTTCAGAAGTTCAGTGAGAATTCCATAAAACGTTCACCGGCAAAACTGTATTCCACCTGGCTTTTAACCTGAGCTGATTATTTCTGGCCACCATCTGGGGGCAGGGGTGGGAAATTCCTAATGTAATGATTTTCTTTCTCTCTGCTGCCCAGAGTCTGAAGATTGGGTTGAGTGGGTTCCAGAAACTGAAAATAAAGAAAGAATGCAAAGTCCTGGGGAGTTCCCTCATGTGGGAATAACTTCCTAAAATACGAAAGAGTTGTCAGAACCAGAACAGACATCAAACAAACAGAGTAAATGGCCATAATTATTTCAAAGCTTGTACATGTGCAAACCTATGCTAGGGTGCCTTTGATTATCCCCAGTTTTGATCCTGAATTACTTCTTCTTTGGCAATGCAGGAATTGTCCCCCATTTATATCTGATTGGTCTTCTCTTGAAAACTTCTGCTTGCACATATGCACACACTGGTCACACTCAGTTTCCAGAGAGCAAAAGGCTCTGATGCTGGGAAAGGTGGAAGGAATGAGAAGAAGAGGAGGATCAGCAGCAAGGTGGTGGACTCAGTTACAGTGACAAGGGGGGCAACCTTGGAAGACCTGAAGGACCAGGTTGGGGACAGATCATCATGGAGAAAATCTATCTCTGTGGTCTCTAGGAGTCGAAAAAAACTTGATGGCATGTAATCAATCAGTCAATCAATCAATCAATCAATCAATCAATCAATCAATCAATCAATCAATCAATCAATCAATCAATCAATCAATCAATCAATCAATCAATCAATCAATCAATCAATCAATCAATCAATCATCCAGCTATAGCCAAAATGGCATTTCCAACCTTGGTAGGACTCCAACATTTACAGAAGTAACCTTCCCCCGACAATAAAGCCACCACCTCAGGGACAGGAATCCCCAATAAGGACTGAGCATACTCAGTGGTTGTGGAATGCTGGTTGGGGGTAGGGAAATGGGGTGTTAGAGACAAAGCCAAAGAAATCCCTAAATTCGGCAGAGCCATGCTCCAAGCAGCAGCATTTCATTGCAGGTCCTATTAGCCCTATTGACCTGCCCACGTGCCCTGCCTCAGATTACATGGGGGGCCCCTCCAGTCTGGACTCAAGGTCTGTACCAGTGTCTCTCAACCTCAGCTACTTTAAGATGTGTGGACTTCAACTCCCAGAATTCCTCAGCCAGCCATGCTGGCTGGGGAA